TACCAAGTGTAGTCTGCGTTGTCCAGCGGCTGGTCCTTCAGGTCTGGTCGGGTACCGAAAACCTCTGCCAGAATCTGGAGACAGTCATGATGATCTGGCTCTTCGGTCGAGGGGAGCAAGGTAGCAGGGTTGAGAGCTACTGGAGACCCAAACTGGATGCGATCGGTGTCCAGTAGCAAGGCCTGATAGTGAGTCATGCGGGTGTTAGAGAGCCAACGGTCTGGTGGCTGTCTGATTAGGGACTCTAACGCATGGGGAGCCCGTATGCAAAGAGGCTGTCCCAGAGTGAGTTTAAAAGCGTCCTTGACCAGAACTGCTAAGGCTGCCACCATTCTAAGACATGGAGGCCAACCTGATGCCACAGGATCTAGTTTCTTAGAGAGATAGGCGACAGGTCGCCTCCAAGGTCCCAGTTTTTGTGTCAGGACCCCCTTTGCATACCCAGTCTTTTCATCTACATATAGTTCAAAGGGTTTATTAAGGTCTGGCAGTCCTAGCGCAGGCGCAGTCAGCAGGGCCTGCTTGATATTCTCAAAAGCTCGCTGGTGTTCATTTTCCCAAGTAAAACCTTCACTTGCCTTGGTGAGAGGGTATAAAGGGGCCGCCATCTCAGCAAATCCTGGAATCCATAACCGGCAAAATCCAGCAGTCCCCAAAAACTCTCTCACCTGTTTTCGATCCTTGGGGGCCGGGATGCTCAGGATGGTCTGCTGACGGGCCTTAGTCAGCCATCTCTGTCCTTCTTTTAGTTGGTATCCTAAATAGGTTACCTCCTTTTTGCAAAGCTGGGCCTTTTTAGCAGAAGCCCGGTAGCCCAATTGGCCCAGTTCCTGTAAGAGAGCCCCGGTACCTTCCAAGCATTCCTCCTTAGTCTCTGCAGCCAGCAAGATGTCATCCACATACTGGAGTATGATTAGATGGGGGTACTGAGTCCTGAAGGCAGCTAGATCCTGGTGTAGGGCCCCATCAAAGAGGGTCGGGCTGTTCTTAAACCCCTGTGGGAGCCGCGTCCAGGTGAGTTGACCGGAAAGCCCTAACTCAGGGTCTTTCCATTCGAAGGCAAACAGCGGCTGGCTGGAGGGATGGAGCTTTAAGCAAAAGAAGGCATCCTTCAAGTCTAGTACTGTGTACCATGCATGGCTGGGTGGCAGGGTGCTAAGTAAGTTGTAGGGGTTAGGGACCGTTGGGTGAATATCCTCAACCCGCTTATTGACCTCCCTCAGATCTTGCACCGGCCTATAGTCAGTACCACCAGGTTTTTTTACAGGCAACAAGGGGGTGTTCCATGCAGATTGACAGGGAATAAGTATACCTTGTTCAAGCAGCCTCTTGATGTGAGGTCTGATCCCTTGTTGGGCCTCGATTGTCATGGGGTACTGCTTAACATTGGCAGGCGTGACAGAGGCCTTCAGACTAATAACCAAGGGAGGTTGCTGTTTAGCCAGTCCCATGCCATTAGTCTCAGCCCAAGCTTCTGGGTATTTAGCCAACCATTGATCTATATTCTCTGGGGTTGGCTTTGGGTCATCATGAAGTTTGTACTCATCTTCTAGTTTAAGGGTGAGCACTTGTATAGGTGCTCCTTTAGAATCAGTAATCTTGGCCCCCTTATTTTCAAAATAGATGTGTGCTCCAAACTTGGTTAGTAAGTCCCGTCCTAGCAGGGGGTAGGGGCAGTCTGGTACATGTAAGAAGGTATGAGTCACCGTTTCTGAAGCAAGCTGAACCTCCCGGTTTGTGGTCCAGCGGTAACGCTTGGCCCCAGTAGCTCCTTCTACCCATGTTGTTTTCTTACTAAGCGGGCCAGTCGTCTGGGTAAGGACAGAATGTTGTGCCCCAGTGTCCACCATAAAAGTGACTGGTTCTCCCCCCACTCGGAGAGTTACCCTGGGCTCAGGTGGGGGGTCCTGGCCCCGACCCCCCTAATCAAGTTGGAGGATCTTGGTTCCGCTCTCGTTGGGTTTTTCTCGTCTCTTGGGGTTCTTGGGACAATCCCTTGCCCAATGTCCCTTTTCCCAGCAGTAAGCACATTGGTCTCTCCCTATATGGCCGCCTCGTCTGCCACCCCTATACCTCTTTTTCTCTTGCCCTACTACGGTGGCCAGGATTCTACTTAGCTCTTTGGTTCGTTCCCTTTTATTTCGTTCTTCCTTTTCCTCTTGGGTTTCTCTTTTATTATAGATCCTGTCTGCCTCCCTTACCAAATCTCTGAGGCCTTGTCCCTGCAGGTTCTCCAACCTCTGCAGTTTGCTCCGAATATCGGGGGCAGACTGCCAAATAAAGGACATAGACACACTCACTTCTTGTTCTGGACTGTCTGGATCAAACGGAGTGTATCTCCTATAGGCCTCCTTGAGCCTCTCCAAAAAGACAGTTGGAGGCTCATCCGCTCCCTG